TTTGAACATCTGACGTCATAAATAGTGAAGGTTGTCTAAAGAAGATCAGAGATGAGAAAATGACGTAAAACGGATATAAAAAGCAAAAGAAACGGCTGAAAACCGGATAAAAACGCTGTAAAAAGGTTTGAAATCTTTCAATTGGCGGCTTTTCAAGGTGCAAGTTTTCGCTCCAGGACCAGCAATTCGCAGCACGGGGTTTTGATTTTTGATGCGTCCTTTGAATTTTTACCCCCAAGATGACGTTCCTTTTTCCTGGGACGTTGTCTGGATTGTTGCGCCTCTTGTTCTGAGCAACAATCGCCCAAGCTAGAAAAAAATCGCTGCGAAAGCACTGAAACAGAACAAGGTAAAGAAAAACGCACTTTTTACGATTTTTCGCAAAAAATTCTACCATAATCGAAGAAGTAAGGACTCGGTGGTTGTCTGCATTATGAGCAGAAGCAAGATCTATAGAATGCACGAAAAAACCGCGTGAAAAGAGTTAAACTAGAAGAAAAACAAGAGATTCTCAAAAACAAGGTTTTTGCCGGATTTCTCGATCAAACCAAAGAATGTGGTTCTGGGACGTTGTCAGCGTGAAAATAGAGATCAAGAGCTTCAAAATGATATATAGCTTGTGAAAATTGGGTTCGAAATAGCGGAGAAAAGGGTACCAGAGCCAAATGCCCCGCGCCCCGCGTTTGGGTTAGCGAGGTAGCGCGCAGCGCGCGGAGACGCAGACGAGCAGCGGAGACAGACCAGAGCCGACGGGGCATTTGGCTCTGGTCGTAGATCTCTGCGGGGTCTCAACGAAACCCTGCAAAATTATATATCATTCTGATCGTCATGACACGGCGAGGAGAACTGACAACGTCCCAAGCTTTGAAAGCCACTCATTAGCGAGATAGACCAGCATTCTCATGCGCGACCCTCTGAAGATTCAAGCGCAGTTTCTCTTTTAATATAACTCCAACAGCTTTCCTAAACTTCTGATACTCAAGTTTGGTCAAATGAGAGGTTAACAGAGAAAATTCGTCTTGAATTCTGGCGAAAATTCCACAGAAACCTTCCTTTCAACGTAAAAAAGGCTATAAAACGCAGATTCTCGGTTTCGCTGAGATTAACTAACGATATTATTCCCTATATTTGCTTCATTAGCATTCATTCCGAAATAGTCAGAATGCTAACATCCGGGGCTTCGCCCCGGATGACTTCTGTTTTTTTCCAGGTGAAGGTTGTGTCCCCTCATAGCCCTCAAAGTGAAGGTTACCAGAGTATGTGGCTCTATGTATCGAGGGTATGCGTTTTTGTAATCTCCCTGGTGCCAGCTCGTGCTCGGCCTTGATTACTCAGTTCTTATTGTCCATCGAGCTCATGTTGAATCGGAAAGTTTCCCACTTGAAACGTTCATGATGTTTACTGAAGATTTTCCAAGGTTAAGTGCTTACAACGGACCACTACACCGTTTGTCACACACACTATGAAGTGATCAAAACAATTTCACTGTAAATGCAAAAATGTTTATGACTTGGAATTTAATAGCAGGAGGCACTTTTATCAATATGTGCATTAATATACTCATTTGCACAACTTTGCTTCAGTTGATACAAATGCTTCTTTTCTCATTATGCGATTTATTCAGTGATACGTGTTTGTGCCATGTTGTTCAGTCATGGACATATGCTTGCATCGTGGGTCTAAAGCAGATTTCTTCGTATTCTAGTCATGCGAGTTAGCATCATGAGCACGACTTTTGAACCTATCCAAGTGTGTCTGTGCTTTATGTTGACAAGGGTTTTAAATTGTGATCCTAAAGCAATTTGTTATTACGCATGTGACGAATCAAATGTGCATTTTGACAAGGCTCCCGTGATTTCATCAGTTTCATTCTGCAGCTGCTTTACGCACTGTTTTAGTGCAAATTGAAGAACCATCAGACAATCATAGGCGTGACGATCTTTTAACCATCACAATGTACCCATTTTTCAACCTGTGCTTGTATCCTGAGCCAGTTCGTCGAAATTGTCGAATTCATCAACCTGATGCGTTTGGCCAAATGAGCAAGTATCCCAAGTAAAGTAAGTAATGTCAAGTCAATAAGTAGCCCAAAAAGAATATAGACTACGTAAACTCAACAGAAATTGTGATCTGTTTTGTGCTTTTGAATCCTAACTGTTGTTTTCGCAGTCTTTTAACTTCATGAGATTTACTACACTTACAAACCACATGGTAAATTTCAGAAACTTTGGGTTTTTATCTGGAATAAACATTTGACAAATGCTGCTCAATTTTTGTAAACGGGCAGGAAAAGGAAAGTTAGTGAAATTCTTGCAATAAACTGCTGACTTTTATTTTTTAAATCTTCTAGTTATAGACAAAAACTGCTGAAAAATATAGCAGCTGCCAAACCTTTTGTTCCGGTTAACTAATTCTGAGTAAAAAAAGCGAAAACCTAATTTGTCTCATAAAATCTTGTAATGCCTTGTATGATTACAGCTCTTTTACTTTGGTCACTTGAAACCATCCATCATTCCGAGAGCTGATTTTGCACTCAGTAAAACAACTGCTCGAAAAATTTTCAAAGAATTTTTTGTGCTCAACTTTATATAGGGTAATAGGAAATTTATAAGCATTCTTGCATGTGTTCACTTAGAATACTTGACACAAACTTTTTTATAATTCATATTCAACCCTTTTTCCAAGCCTCAGAAACAGTTTTGGGGAGCGAGATGAAATGAATGGGAGGAAACAAGCTGAAATGTTTTGTAATCAGGTGAAATTTTGTCAGTTGCCTATTGCAAGTGATACGTGCGCATTCGCTGCGACTTCAAGATTGTGATTCAGTTGAATTTCCGTTATCAGAAGTTTTTGCTATATTCTAAATCAGCTGGTGCAGCCGACTTTGCTAGGAAGATGTTTGTGATAGTCCGAAATAAAAGACTACAAGCCAGATTGGTTCCAGGAGTCTCACGAACATTCAAGCTTCCAGAAATGTTCCTCGTTGCTCTGGGATCTCTCTTTTTCGTGCTCTCTCATTCTCTCTGTGTTAGATAACCCTGCTCTTTTCGGAGGCATTTTGGAGATCTGCAATAGACAAACTGTTTCATTTTGAAAGGCTTTAGTAAAACAATGATTATTTCTTTCAAGTCGACCATTCCAATTTTCAAGGGTGCGTAACAAGCTGATTGCAAATTTTATGTTCACTTCGCTCAAGGATCCTACCGTATCGGATACCGTGATTGTGTAAGCTTGCAGCTACCTAGTTAGATATCACAGCTTCGTGGCTAGAGCTCAGATCTATCTAACTTATATCCAATACGGTAGGATCCCTCGGGCGAGGCCTCTCACGATGGAATTCCAACGAATCATGCGATCTTTGCGTTTTGGACAATATTCATGAGGGCGTGATTTTAAGCTCGTGACCCAGCGACTGTTACAGATTGGAACCTGAGACCTGTATCGTTCACTAGCACGAGTTCTGATGATTCTAACCTGTTAAGGCAAGAAGGCAAATTTTTTAACGTATACGAGAAAAGTGCAGGAGAATTTACAATTTTCGTGGGTACTTTTCCTTTACTCGGACCCATTTTTCAGAATGATCTCATAAATTACGTGCTTCAGCCTAGAAATTTTTTATAGATCTGAAGGCTGTCTCCTTACCACGTGTTCAGATAAATCGACGCGTTTAGGGCCAGTATGACATGTTTTTAAAATTTGTTTCCGGTGAGGTACGAAAGTATTTGAAATGACTGTTGTCCATGAAACTTTTTCAAAAGTAGAACGTTTTTGAATGTTTATCAGAACATCTTGGTAACTTTCAACAATGATTTGAAGAAACCCTGCTCTTCACATTGATTCGCCATGCGAATATAGCCGAGAAAGAATAGAAATAATGATATCTGGCTGCCGAAGGTTTCGTCTTCTAAATGATAGAACAATAGCCAACATTTTTGTTTCGTAACCTGTTTATATCAACAGAATGTCATCTACATAATATTGAACTTTATGAAAGGAACTCTTACTAATTATGGGGTCATTATTAATTGAAAAACAGATTAAATTAATGATAGGTAGGCTAAACAAATACTTGGTAAAACCTGTTAAACAAGTAAATGACATGTCTGTTTATTTGAAACGTGGCAGGAGGTTGACTCTCCATCCTGTGAAGGCAGTGGGTGGAATCAATTAGAACACACACACACACACACACACACAAACACACACACACACACACACACACACACACACACACACAAGAAGAAATTTAACTACAAATGAGATCATTACGAAATAATCAATTTCTAGCTGGGTCCGGAAGCGCCGTTTACCTATCCTCAAATCGTTCAAGATAACAGCAGACAAACACTCTACGCATTGATACAGTGCTGGCCATAGCTTCAGAGCCACCCTAAAAAATCATTGTTATCGAATATTTAATAAAAACCGCTGTTTTTTGGTTTTATTCACCACATAAAAGGTACCGAGAATTCCAAAAGCTGCTTTTTCAAATCAAATCAAACTTATTTATGTTGCATAAATAATTTTTAATAAATCATGTTTCAATTCGTAGAAAATTCAAAAGCTTTCGTTTATTTGCTGCAGTAACTTGTTTCATGACTTGGCCAAAAATCGATACCTCTAAAACAATAATTTTCTAAAGCTAAAAACAGCAGATTAGGAGAGTCTGAAATTATTATCTTGTAAACGAGACTTGCTCTATTTGATCCATACTTAATCTTTCTTGAAACTTTGGGACAAAATTTTTAAAAATTAAGCTAACTTTGAGCAGGTAAAATGACGGTTGGAGAATTTTGGCTTATCAAAAAAAAACATACAAGATTATGGTTCGAAAATGACCCTTAACGAAGAGAAGGAAAAGATGCATCGAATGCATGTTGAAACTATTCAGGTCTTCATTGTGCGTACTTTTTAGTGGTTTGAAAAACACCGGACAAAACGTTCGAAACAACCTAATAATTCGAATATTTTTTTTAGTATTAAAGCTCTTATCATTATAGATGACAGTGAAATTTTGGATGGGAGTGTTGCTGGGTGCAATAACACTGATTGGTCTTGTTCTGACAACTATTGTGATGTTTGCCGTTGTCAAATTGGGTATTTTCAAACGTAAAAGTCCCATATACCTTATCTCGGCGGCTAACATGCTCTGCGATATCATACAGCTCATATTGGCAATCGGTTATCTTGTTCCATCCATAATCACCAATGTAAGAAACTTCTGTAATGCTCAACTACTCAGCTGTAAAGAAAAAATCTTTTAGAGCTGGTTGTTCAAAGAAGAACGAAATGATGGATTTGTGCAATTTCTTGGAGCTGTTTTTCTCTTCTGTTGGTACTACGGCTCAGTCGCGCAAATTCTCATGGCTGTGAACAGGTGAAGGGTTAAACAATCTTCACTGTTCATAATATCAAACTGTCATAGGGTAATCGTGATTTGCGTGCGCTCCAATCGCTTCTTCTCGCATCAAAATGTGCTTATCATTGTTATTATTCTTTATCCGATAGCAACATTTGTTGCTTGGTTATCTCAATACGTCAGCCCATGCTGCCAGTACGTAAGATTCCGATTTGTGGTTCCGGTAAACTGAATAGTTTTTTGGCATAATTTCACTCAAATTCTAGTAAATGTACTGAAAGACCATATTCATAGTGCTAGAATTAGAAAAGCTTCAGACTGTAATGAGGCTTCTAATGCGATCTTGCTGCATTATTATTTGCAAAAAGAAAAATGATATACTATATTTTTAGAGTAAAGAATGTTAGCGGTTAAAAATGCATTTTCTTTTTTTTTTTTGAAATCTCCTACGTACGGCAGCGTACGTCACTTATGACAGGGTAGATGAGAGGCTGCAATGAATACGATGTTTATTGGAGTGCCCGGCAGTTTGAGAAAAAGTTGAAGACAGTCGGAAGCAGCGAGACTCAAAAATCTTACATACTACTGAAATTTGGTTACGATGTTTTGTTACACATTTCCTTAAATTCAAGTAGTTGAACGAGGTTCCCTACCTTCAACTTCTTGGATAAATTTGGGATAAAGGCAGCGTCCAGGCAAGTCTGGACGCATTGGAATTTCACGCGGATAGTAATTTTGGGGCCCTAACTAAGGCACTGCCCAAGCGGCAGCGCTGGTAACTCACTAACGGCTGAGATATACGCCTCCAAACTGGACCCCAAGATCGTATTCCGCATAAATTCATGGCGCAACGGGTGGGTCCTCGCGCGTCCATGCGAATACAATCGCGGGGTCTAGTTTCGAGGGGAATATCTCAGCCGTTAGAGCACACCTGCGCTGCCGCTTGGGCAGTGCCCAGTTAAGGCCCAAAATCACCTTCCACGTAAAATCCTCTGTCCAGATCTGCCTGAATGCTGCCTTTAATCGTTTTGCTGCCAAATTTAGGAGACGCACTAAGATATAGCACTACGAATCTAATGAGTCTGCAGCATGTGGTGTCCAGCAGAGGTTCTTTTCTGCGCAACTTCCCATCTTTTCTGATTTGAATATGTTCTTTTGATTATGCGTTCAATGATAAAGGAATTACAATCTTGAAAGCGCCCCTTCACAGTTGTGAGTAGATACTGAAAACTACTCCTCATTCTTGAGCATTCGTAAAGCTATCCTATATTTTCCTGACATACCTGCTCTTTCGGGTGTTATCGATTGTAGTAATATAAAGTCAACAGTACTAAGCTTCCAGGTTCTACTGTTCTTGTTGTGTGACAGGAAACTCGAAAGTTATAATATCAATTTGGCAGATCAGAGGCAGCTTTGAAGAAGCGAAAAACGGGGTGCAGTGGAATTTACTGTATTACGAATCTCCCATCGCGAATGTTTTGCGCCACCTCGCAGATTTCTGCACCCAAGAGGCGTTATCGGCCTGGTTTACATATGTGTATACGTGCCCAATGCAATATCAATTTTTGGTGCCTACAGCGGTATGGCGAGCAGGAACCTGTACAAAAATTATGAAAATTTTATGAACAAAGCATGCACAACTTTGAACATAACCAAGCTGGCATCGTTGTCAGCGCTGCACGTGGGTTGGCACGGAGAAACAAAGCCATGATCTCCTCTCTCGCCTAAATCAGAAAGATTTTGACTTCAGACGTCCAAGGAGCTTTTCTTGCTGTCGGATTTCGTTTTTTTGCTTACCTACTCAGACAATCGCCGGGGGCAGGCGGGCACCGGAAAAATAGATTGCTGATCTCTCGCACCCCGCTCGCGGATTTTTTGGAAAGCAATCAGGACTTTTCGGAAGACCGCTTGCTGAGTTCTCGATTCCCTCAGAGATTCAGCAATATATCTGCAAAAGATAAGAGCGAAAAAAATTCAACAGGCGGTCTCTCAAAAATCCGCTGACTCAGCGAGCGGTCTTCCGAAAAGTCCTGATTGCTTCCCAAAAAATCCGCGAGCGGGGTGCGAGAAATCAGCAATCTATTTTTCCGGTGCCCGCCTGCCCCCAGCGATTGTCTGAGTAGGTGCGCGGGTACAAAGCCGTCTTAAGTGAGTTACAGAAACAAAGGTAAGACTGAGATTAACACGTCAGCAATGCTCAAATGACATTAATTTTAAAGGGCGTCCAGGAACATTTTGACACATGGCGATCGCACCCGGAATCTGATTCTGAGGTTCATACTAACACGATACTGACAAGGGTTAGCGCAGATGGTGCACTCGCTGCTGAGATATTTGCCCCTAAACCAGACCTGCCACCCATTTGGCAAACGACCTGCATCAAGCTGCATGTCACTGCGTGCGGACCCCCCCACGAGACTCGCGGCGCAGACTGCAAGTTGGTGCAAGTCGTCCGCTAAGTCCGCTAAGTATAATAATGCCATCTGTCTAGTCACCTCGCTGCGCTCTGTCATTGCACAAAAATTCAAAATTTCGGATGAGGCTAGAGGGGTCGCCCCTGTCGTGGTTGCACACTAGCTAAGGCAGTTTTTTGTTCAACGTATTTCTTTTTCTTTGATTTCAGCCTTTTTAGCTGCTGTCTCTCTTCCATCTTCTGCTTTAGTGTGGTGTGTTTCGTTTTGCTTTTTAAGTAACACAACTTACACGTTATGTATTTGCGATAGGTTTATTAGAAACCAATACTAAAATTATAGGCATTTACGCAGACGAGTAGATTAGATGATTGTATCAGCCTTTAGAAAACACCGCAAAGCTAGTTTCAAATGATATCAAGAGGAACTTATATTGGAGTGCATCCAGCAGCCGTAAGCATCAGATTAGCAGAATTGCGGCAGAATATTAGGTAGCTTCCGCATCCGTAAATATGTTGTCCACATTTAGCAACCGGAGGATTAACGATATCGAGAAGAATTTGAGAATACTCAGCCTAGCTGAAAATAGTCCAGAAATTTGAGTAGAGGGAATAAAGGAGCATCCATTAGCAGCCGTCTCGGTTTCACGAACAACAGTGTTAAACTGACATCAGTCAAAACCAATCACGAATTTCCATCAAAAAAGCATGAACTCAAACACACCATGCATATTGCAGCTGTTTCCTGAAAGTCTCGTGAACGATTAGTTTGTACTTCACTAATTCGTACCCATAAAACTGATGCGACATACAGATTTTACCTCAAGTGGGCATTTCAATTCACCAATATTCTTTTCGCCATAGAAGTCAAAAAGGTCAGCAAAGTAGAAAGAAGAGATCAGAAACGCTATGAAGTTTGTTCAAATCTGAAAAGAGAGCCGACTTATAGTAATGATGAGCTACATCATCTTAACTCAGATCCCACACGTTTAAGCAACCTCAAGGCATAATCGTTATCCTTTTAAAGCTAGCCTAACGTAAACTTGACGTAATCGTAGTGAGAAAACCACAACAATAATATAAGAGAACTAGCTGGCATACCCGGCTCCGCCCGGCCCTGTCAAAAACGATGAAGGTTCCATTTCTATCCCTGCACATTTTTACCTGTGCCCACTTCTACATGCAATTCCCTATTCCCGCTGTGTTAGTAATCAGTATGCCCACCTAACCTTCCTCACCAACCCCCCAGTCCCGTAGCTCAAACTTCGCAAAAAAAAAACAATCCTTACTATAATAATAATATAGTACATTCGATCCATGCGCGACGGCAGAGTTTTCTGCGTCCCTCCTATCCTTAACCGCATGCATGAGGAGGGTCCAGTTGCTGAAGGATTCCAGAAAAAGGAATGGGAAAATATAACGGCGCTCAGTGATGACGGGAGGAGAGGCCGGTAGCCATTATGTCGGCGAGAGATTTGCTCGCACTGTGGGTCCCGGGGCGGAGCGGAGATTTTTCAGCTTTGAGCTAAGCGGCTGAGAATTGACACAGGGGTGTACGTGAACATGCTGATCACAGATCCAATGAATTTCAGAATTATCGATTACTTATCGGCCACCTTTATCGATTTCGTTGCTGCACTTGCTAAGTGTTGAAATAGCAATGTGTCATGGTAGCTGGAATGGTTGTGTACGGAATTGCTCTCTAGCTATCGATCTCTCTTTCGTTGAGTTCCACTTGCAAGACGATTACAGTTTTGATATCATTGAACGGCTTTCTGTCAGCCCCACTCTACAAATATCGAACATTTAGCCCCCTTGTGGAAAGTTCGTATTCCTTTCACGCACAAGTTTTCTATGGAAAACCTTTTTTGAAGCTTGGGGTAAAGTCTGATTGTTTAACAAAAAAATTGAGTATTCCATGAATTATGGTCTTGAATGGGGTGGTTAGATTTGGGAAAGAACAATCATCGTAATCTCAACAAATCCCAACAAAATTCATCACAAATTTGCCACAAAATCCAAAAAACCCAACATTCAAGTCAACGCTCCCTATTTTTGTCAGCTTGATGGGAGCTGAAGCTTTTTTATTCAACATATAAATAATCAGCATAGCATACTGCCCCTCCTACTTCCGTAATCATTTTGACTGGAAATAATCGGGAGATTTGCACTATTGATGATGCGTTGATGCGTTTTTTCCACAGCTATGCAATTAAATACATAAATTATAAGTACATAAATAAAATAATTGTTATTATAGACTTCTTCTATAAGTTCGAGACCGTCTTATGCATGGATAGCTTCGATTTGTTCAAAGAACGCTGTTTTGTAATCACCAGGTTTTCCGGGTTTTGATGATGTCGCGTAGTTTAGTACGTCGTCCGACAACCAACTGCAATCTTTCCTAATTGACGTAACTCCACACCCTCAAAGGAAAAAGCAGTTGAGCAATGAAAGATTTCAATCCATTTTTTGCTGTGGTTGTCAAAATATCAGTGGCACTGCTAATCGCACTGAATTCGCATGCGGTATTTAGCATTTACTTTGTACGAAGTTTGGTTTCTGTTTGACACTTCCATAGACAGTATCTTCATTCAGTCTCCTTGTTTCATGATCCATCAAGAGAAAATGCTTTTCAAAGCTTTCACTGTTGGAAAATACTTTTGCTCAAAAAGAAAACAGCAGGGCGAACATGGCCTCCTTGGAAAGGACCAGGGATGCGAAACGAATTTCCAAAGTTTAACAGACAAAGTTTGAAATTTGTCGAAGAACTTTTAGGTTTTTTTCTCACTGGGGAATTCCTACTTTGCCCAAGGAAAAGT